CCACTATCATGCTCAGCCTTCATTTGGGTTTTAGTAATTCCTCTCGGTTACATTGCCCTTGATTAAGCCCTACCAGGCCTCCTACACCCTTCTCGCCATTGATTTTGGATCACTTATTTTGTTCCTTTATTCCTGGGTTTGTTAACACCCACTTCCTTTCCCCCCTCTCCTCCTCTCCCCCTCTCCCATGTCCCCCCCCCTCCCCCTCCAACCCGTTGTCTTCTTGATTGTTTATCCTGCCTATCTTATCTAGATAGACCTGGAGAGATAATAATATGCACAAAAAACAAGACAGAGAAAAACAAAACAACAACAAAAAATGAATGACAAAAAAAAGAGAAAAGCTTATAAATAGTTCAAGGTCTGTTAGTTGACCTAAGGAGTGTTTTCCAGTCTGATGGGGTGCCACTGCTCTGGCCTCAGAGTCTATTTTTGGTACTCCCTTGGGTCTTCCTTGCTTTGCTCCCCTTGCTGCTCGGTTTCACGCCCCTAGTGTTTTGCTTTGGTGTGTTGGGGTCACATTGGGCGACCAATATTTTTTTAATGAGTAAGTTAAGTATTCAAATCACACTATTTGATTAATTGACTATCTAATTGTTGTTAGGTGACTTCAAGTCAGCTCTGACTCATAGTGATCATATGTATTAACAGACTGAAACACTGCCCAGTCCTGTACTACCTTCATAATTTTACTGTTTGAGCCCATTGTTAACAGCCACTGGGTCAGTCCCTCGTGAGGCCTTTTTCTTTTTGTAACCCTCTACTTTGCCAGGCATGATGGCCTTTTCCAGGGATTGATCTTTCCTGATAACACATCCAAAGTACTTTTTAAATTTTTATTTTAAAAGATCATTTTATTGGCAGTTCTTACAGCTCTTATAACAATCCATACATCAATTGTGTCAAGCGTATTTGTACATATGTTGCCATTATCATTTTCTTTTCTTTCAAGCACATTTGTACATTTCTTGCCCTCATCATTCTCAAAACAGTTGCTTTCTACTTGAGCCTCCTCATTTCCCCCGCTCCCCGCCCCCCCTTATGAACCCTTGATAATTTATAAATCGTTATTATTTTTGTTATATCTTACACTGTCTGATGTCTCAAGGATCATTCTGGCTGTCCTTTTTCCCAGATAAGATTTGTTTATTCTTCTGGCATTCCATGGTACTTTCAATATTCTTTGACACCATCACAATTCAAATGCATCAGTTCATTGACAGGCTTCCCAATTCATTGTCTAGCTTTCTATATGAGGTGATTGGAAATACCATGGCTTGGGTCAGGTGCACCTTATTTCTAAAAGTGACATCTTTGCTCTTTAACACTTTAAATCAGTGTAGTGCAGCACATTTGTCCAAGGCAATATGTCATTTGATTTCTTGCCTGTTCCTTCCATAAACATTAATTGTGGATCCAAGTATGTGAAATTCTTGACAATTTCAAATAATTTCTCAGTTTATCATGCTGCTGCTTATTGGTCTAATTGTGAAGATTTTTGATTTCTTGATGTTTTTTCCACCATGGAGTTGTAATCCGTACCGCAGTCTTTGGTCTTCATTCATGAGCACATCAGATCCTCTGTGTTTCAGCAAGTAAGCTTGGGTCATCTGCACATCGCAGGTTGTTGATGAATCTTCTTCCATACCTGATGCCATGCTCTTTTTCACGCAGTCTGGTTGCTCAGATTATTTGCTCCGCATG